CCATAAGGTGCTGTGACAGCAGGGCTGGCACCTGGGCCAAAAGCAGGAGGAAGGGATTCTCTGGGGCCAGAGGGCTCGGCAAGCAGCAGCCACTTCCAATTACCTTGGCGGGAGAGCCCCTGCCAGCCATAGGGGGCTTTGTGCTGGCTCAGTCTGTCCCAGAGCTCCTGAGTGAAGAGGCCCCCCGAGAGCAGCACTGGAGTGGAGAGCTCGAACAGGGCACGGAAGTGGGGGTGCTTCTGGATGGCCAGATAAAGTGAGTGTCGGCAGTGCGGGCTCTGTGGGGCAGGAGATAGAGAGTGCCGAGCTCCCTTAGCTGGGGGCTGTGGCTGGTGGCAACCTTCCTAGGAGCGTGCAGGCCCTGCAGGCTGGTTGGAGGAGCTACCCTTCGCCCCCAGACTTGGTCCACCCCCAGACCTGCCGGCTGAGCTGGCTTGTGGCACAGCGGCGTGGTGGGGGTCAGAGAGCTTTCTGGATTTACCCTGCCCAGTCCTCTCTCTCCTGGATGCCACCTATCCAGGGCCTGGTGGCTCTGGCCTCTTACTCCTTCACTTCACACTTAGAGCAACCCTGGGGTGTTTTCCCACCAAATGGGTAAGACCCGCCTGCCCTTTGGTGGAGGAATTGCAGCCTGGGCTTTGGAATCCGTCAGCTTGGATCCAAATCCTAGCTCTGGCTGTTCTCACTGTAAGATTTGTATGGGACAGGCTGCTGGAAAGATTATGATCATTTTCGTCCAGGTGGTACCTGGACTGGGTTGACTAGTGTCCCCCCACCCCCTTGTGTCTGCCCAGAACCTCAGAATGTGACCTTATTTGGGAATATGGTCTTTGCAGATGTAATTAATTAGGATGACGTCATACTAGTTTAGGGTGGGCCCTCATCCAATGACTGGCGTCCTTATAAAGCCCGTGAAGACACACAGAGACTGGAGTGGCCTGGCCATAAGCCACAGAACCTCTGGCGCCACCAGAAACTGGAAGAGGCAAGGAAGGATTCTTCCCTGGAACTTTCAGGAAGGTGGCCCTGCTGACCCTTTGATTTTGGATTCTGGAGTCCAGAACTGTGAAAAAATCAATTTCTCTTATTTTCAACACCGCAGTTTGTGCTAATTCCTTTCAGAAGCTCTAGGAAAATATACAGTGCCTCTGCGCGCAGGGACCTTGAGGGAGGGTACTGAAGAGGGTCCCACCCCATTTGCCTGCAATCCCCAATGTCTGAATCCCGCACTGCCTCGCCCTGGGTGGGGCTACCCTTCCCACTGAAGGGGGCTCTTTGTTAAGACTGCTGGTTTGACCAATGCAGGAAGGAACTATGCAGTAATTTCTGCTATAACATTACCTATGGATGCCTAAAAACCACCACACTATGCAAAACGGGTGCAGTCAAAACCACAGGGCTTTTGGGGAAATGGGATGAGTGGCACAACACTCAAAAGCTTTGTCAGTGATGGATGATAGGACAAACGAGGGGCCTAACAAAGATGGAGGCACAGTCTCACACATCCTGTGGTTAAGATCTACCATGTTCTACTAAACATATGGCCCTTGACCTTGGAGAAGACTTGCCGTTTGCCTGGAGGCTGGCAGCTGGTGAGTTACTGTGACGTAGTGCAAAGAGGGTTAGAGAACAATGAAGTGCATATCTGAAGGGCGCATGTGTGTACATTTTGTGAATTCCTTCGAGGCTCCCTTCGGTTGGGTGCAGTTCTCTGCATTTAACCTTAGTGTTCTCAATGACAGAGTCACTCATAAGCAAACAAAAGTTTGTGTTATGCCGTAACTGATGAATCTCTGACCTCTATCTCTGAAACTAATAATACACCAAATATTAATTAATTGAATTTAAATAAAATAAGATTTTAAAAAAGAAAAAAAACAAAAGTTTGTGTTATGCTCAAATTTTTCCTAAGATACCAATCTTATTGGAACAAATTCACATTTTCAAAGCAAGCATTGTAGCAGAACCAACTACTAATTTCACTACCTTTCAGTTCATCTTTGGGATGTTTTCCAGGGCCTTCTTTAAGAGATGCCAGGAGAAAACTCTTCAGTCTTTGTATTAGGAAAGGCTGTATTTCACTTGGGCAGCTGGCTTGCTATTACCTCATGGACACAATGGCAAATTTCCCTCTTCACTGTGGCCACCAGGAAGCTCAGAGCCAGATCTATGGCCTATTCCTTATTCATGGGATAGGGAATAGGGAACGATGTGGCCCATCGTTCATGCACTTCTCTACATGACATTGTCTTATTCTCCTACCTTTATTTTTCCTTTGGCCATTTCTTCATTTTATTCTATTTTATATTTTTGCCTTGGTATGTGTATCCAAAAGCCACCTCGAGTCCTTTTTTTAAAACCCAGAGGGGAGGGCGCCTGGGTGGCTCAGTCATTAAGCGTCTGCCTTCGGCTCAGGTCATGATCCCAGGGTCCTGGAATCGAGTCCCACATCGGGCTCCCTGCTCGGCAGGAGGCCTGCTTCTCCCTCTCCCACTCCCCCTGCTTGTGTTCCTGCTCTCGCTATCTCTTTCTCTGTCAAATAAATAAAAGTCTTAAAAACAAAAAACAAAAAACCCAGTGGGGATATGTCCGTTCGCATCAAGCAGCTCAAGGTGCACAGGGCTTTAGGAAACTTAACAGATGTCCCATAAGTACCCATAAGATGCCTGAGGCTTCTTTTTAGCCTTGCAGGCCAAGTATCCACCCCACCTCTGTTCTCAAGACAGGGACCCCTCACCGGCCCAGGGCTACTTGCTCTGTCTCTAAAACAGCTTAGCTGTCACTACGTTCTACATGAAGTGGAATCTTTTTCCCCCGCAGGCCTCAGCTAACAAGTCCCAGGTTGGTCTCTTGGGCATGAACACAACTCTTAAACCCGGGACCTGATCTCTCTGTGCCTCGCTGTGTCCATCTGTAAAAGCTACAGGACAGGGTTGCCATGCGGCTTTTGTGAGAGAACATGGGTAAAGTGCTCGAGGCAGCACAATTTGTGATGGAGCAGGGCCTAGAAGGTTCTCAACCCCCTGTGCAAGCATGGAGCATCTTTCCAAGGTTGGCTTGTTTACTCCATGGAGAGCAGGTTAAAAATGTGTGAATTTTATAGTAAGAAGGCACCTGGCCAGCTCAGTCTGTATGGCATGTGACTCTTGATCCCGGGGTCGTTGAGTTCAAGCCCCACGGTGAGTGTAGATTACTTACAAATAAAATCTTAAAAAAAAAAAAGGTACTTTGAGTAGATTGTCAAATTCACATGACTTTTTTTTTTTTTTTAAGATTTTATTTATTTATTTGACAGAGAGAGACACAGTGAGAGAGGAGCACAGGCACGGGGAGTGGAGGGGGGAGAGGCAGGCCTCCCGCCGAGCGGGGAGCCCGATGCGGGGCTCGATCCCAGGACCCTGGGACCATGACCTGAGCCAAAGGCAGACGCTTAACAACTGAGCACCCAGGCGCCCCTCACATGCCTTTTAAAGATAAGACTTCTGGGCTCCTGGGTGGCTCATTTGTTAAGCGTCTGCCTTTGGCTCGGGTCATGATCCCGGGGTCCTGGGATTGAGTCCTGCATCGGGCTCCCTGTTTGGCAGGAAGCCTGCTTCTCCCTCTCCCACTCCCCCTGCTTGTGTTCCTGCTCTTGCTATCTCTGTCAAATAAATAAAATCTTTAAAAAAAAAAAGTTAAGACTTCCTAAGAACTCTTCTCCTGGCTACACCCCTTCTCTGCTCCTGGGGTGCAGGGAACCCTGGTGGCCAGGACTGGCTGGCTGCTCAGCTTGACGTGTCATGTTTAGAGGGTCCAGAGAGCTCCTGCCCAACAGTCTCACGAGAATGTTCTCGTTTGCTCTTCTTTGTCCCCTCCTCCCCGTTAACTTGAAGACGCTAGACTGCCAGAAGAGTCGACCATTGTACCTTTCTTGTTCCAGCATTTGATGCCTTGCGTCCAAAGAATGCTCGAGACGATGTGGCGTTCCTGGGGGAGAAGCAGAAGTAAAGCAGGGGTTGGACCTGTCCCTCGGAACCTTCTGTCTGACTCTTAGCTCCAGGGGCTGACAAAGCCTGTCAAAGTCAAAGATGGCATTCCTTTGATCTTGCCAGGCTCTGATTTTTGCCCATGTCTCCCTCTTTAGGAACAAAAATATTGTCACATTAGTATGTGTTGCTCAGCCTTCTAAACCCAGAAATCCAAGAAATCCCATGGCAAGCGGCAGAAATGTGGAGTTTACAGAACAGTGAGATCTGGTTCAAGGACGAAAACATACACTAGGCAAGCTTGCCAGCCCCCTGCCGCCATCTGAGGGAGCTCCCTGCCAGGGCCCCAGAGGGGTTGGTCCCAGATGACTGACGTGGTCCCCCTTCCTCTTGGGGTCGGTCGTCCTGCCGTTGTTCCTGGCTCCTGCCCTGTGGCTCCCTGTGGAGGGCAGGGGTCTGAAGCCTCACTCCCTAGGTTTGTATCCCGTGATCTAGGGAAGTTACTTCTCAGAGCCTCAGTGTCTGCATCTGGACCGCAGATATAATCAAGTGATTAATTATCATTATTAATCATATCACATCTCCAGTTGTTGGAAGGGTTCACATAGAGACTCAAGATTATCTCATACAAAAAGCATCCTCTAAATGGTAGCTATTGTTACCTAAAGGAAGAAGGGAAAGGACCTTGTAGTGTCCCTTCGGGAGGGAGGGAAGGGGCTGATGTTACTCTCCACCCCTACTCCCACCTGCCAGGCGGCCCCTGCATCAGAGGAGAGAGCAAACAGAACAGAAGGACTAGGGGCCTTTGCCTATTCAAAAGGGTGTCAGGCTTCTCCTAGACTCCTGTCTCCCACCCACCCCCGCCTCCCCCCACCCCCTCAGTCACAAGAAAGCAGGTGGGGACGATTTTGGATCAGGAGGCAGTTTGCAAGGAAATAAAGGTCTCTTGTTACTTGCTTTTTTTTTTTTTTTTGCTTCTGACAGTGCTGAGCCCGTTGGGCTGCAAGGGAGTGTGCGACCTGCCTCACTTCAGGTTTCCAGAGGACCCTGGAGGGGCAGCCGGGGAAGAGCAGGGATGATTCCTTCCCGCATCCCTCTCTTTCCCCCTTGGATGGCCACCTGCCCCACCCCCCATCCTGTAGTTCTTCTCCTCAGCATAACAGGACCCCCTTTGAAGAGGAACTGGGACCCCAGTCAGGGCCGGTGAGAATCCCCAGGGAGCTTTTGAAAAACACCTTGCACCCAGGGCCTCACCCCTGTAGTTCTGATCTGACCGGTCTAGGCCTCCTCCCCAGGTGATTCTAGCGTGAGCCAGGTTTGAGAACCAGATGAGGGAGCTGCTGGCCAGGGCAGCTTGGGGACGGGCTGGAGAGCCCCCCACCCCAGTTCTGTTTTGCTGTCCTGAACACCCCAGCCTCAGGGAGGCCTGCTCATCTCCAGAGCACCCCTCCGTGCTCAGTGACTTCTCCCAGACCTCCTTAGGAATCCCAGGGCTTCTAGACACACCTGCGTGGAGAGCCTGGAAGGGGTGGGCAAGGGAGCCAGTCCACCTATGCCCCTCCCAGAAGTGTCACCGGCCTGAGGAGAAATAAGGACCTTGTACAGTAGACCTCCCCTCCGCTTGGGTAAGCTCCAAGACCCGCAGTGGATGAAACTGTGGATAGTACCGAACCCTGTACAAGCTAGGTTTTTTCCTCTACATACATACGAATGATAAAGTTTAATTTATAAATGAGGCACAGTAAGAGATTAACAACCATAACTGATAATAAAATAGGACGATCGTAACAATATAACGTGAGTGTGGTCTCTGTAAATATCTTACTCGGTAAATATCACCCTTCTTGTGACAGTGGGAGATGACAAAATAGGCCAGGTGAAGAGACGGAGGGGAGCGGTGGCCACATTGTTGACTACCATTAGGTTCCTACCGACCTCTGTCTCTATGTCCGGAGGAGGCTGATCTGCTCCCAGACCTGTTGTGCCTGGGGGTGACTGAAACCGGGGAAAGCCAAACTGCCATTTCTCATGAAAAGAAATCTACTCAATTTCGATCGCATGCTTAGGAACTCTGGGCCCTCGGATGTCCTTTCTTTTACAAAATAATGTTGACAACATGACAACAGATACCGGCCTATATCTATCCTCACCACTGCCCCCTCCCCCACCAATGAAAAAGATTTATTTATTTATTTATTTATTTATTTATTTATTTATTTATTTATTTATTTTTACAAGTCTAGCTATCCCAATGCCTGGAAACTCCTGACCCAGATTCTTCTGCCATGGGTAAATTCCTGGGCTGGGTTCCACTCTCTAGCCTTCAATGAGAGCCGTCAGGTGCGGTTAAGACCGGGTCCCAACACCACCCCTCATCCCTCCGGGGGCTCTCCAGCTAGCCAGGCCATCTGCTTTCCCACCCCAGGTGGGGGGTGGTGGGGGGCGGTCACACAGCCTGCTCCCAGTTGCTCCAGACGGTCCAGTTTCCCAACCCTCCCGGCACTAAATACCCTCCTCCTACAGTGAGGCCCTCCCAGCCAACCCCCGGGGTTCAGCTACATCGCCAACATTAGGGGAACAGCAAGAAAACGGACAAGTTCTTGGCTTGTACTAGCTTTTTAAAAGATGAAAGACCTTTAGGGCACCTGGGTGGCTCAGTTGGTTAAGCGACTGCCTTTGGCTCAGGTCATGATCCTGGAGTCCCTGGATGGAGTCCTGCATCGGGCTCCCTGCTCAGCAGGGAGCCGGCTTCCCCCTCTGACCCTCCCCCCTCTCATGTACTCTCTCATTCTCTTTCTCTCTCCCTCAAATAAATAAAATCTTTAAAAAAAAAAAGTTAA